AATTGGACGGAACTCGATCAATTTTCGAGCGGGTATCGGATATTATGTGTCGATCGAGTTCCTGGAATTGAACGGAATCGATTCCGGAGCGGAACTGGTTCCTGAAATGTTCAACATTGCGGAATAGGATGACTGCTCCTTGTTCACCAGGGTGTGGGTGTTGAAAGAATAGAATACTCACACTCACACCCACACCCTGGCGAGCAAGTGTCCTGTGAGCAACTAGTCGTCTCCCGAATTGACAAAATCATATTGTTCTCTAGGAAAATGTCTTAAACGCTCTTGTACACCTGAACATACATCGAAATTACATGCTACACGTAACCATCTTGAGCGTGTGGGTGAGGATCTAAGTTAACGTAATAGACGCGAATCTCACCCACACCCACATTCACTTTTACCCATGTATCTTGTATTCCATGTATAAATAAAGTTCGTTTCAGTGAAAAAGAAAATGAATTATAATAATATTTATTCGCAAATGCGAAATAAATTTACTTGGAATAATTCATAAATAAGAAATAAATTTACTTGGAATAATTCATAAATAAGAAATAAATAAACTTGAAATAAATTAGTATGCAAATACAAATATAAATGCATAATTAATAGCAATGAAGTGGCTATGCTTGAGAAAATTTAATTCGGAAGAAAAAGAAATGAATATTTTTCGGTTCAATAAGTAATTTTTTTTGATTTTGTCTATGTTAAACTTAGTTACCTCATGATGATTAATGCATTCTTCATTCATCCGTATTTTATTATATGAAAAAGCACTTTATTTCGAAATAATTTTTTACTTCCTATGACTAGAAAATGAGTGAGAGAAAAACAAATATTTTATAACTATATAAATTGAGTGAAATAGTCTGAAATTTCAAAAATCAACTATGATAGAGATTGTGATTTTATTCTTTACAGTCATAGCTGTTATCCAAGGCTCTTACAGTTGTGCACAAACAAATGGAATATTTAAAAATGATGATGACTTTCGATCTTATTATGTGTGTACAAATTATTGTGATCGTATTGAATATTGTACAGAGACGACGGAATATTATTCAAGTCTTGAAAGAACATGTAAAACCGATGGATTTCTTTGGATACCTGCATATAGTCTAACTGGAGTTCAAGAAGTAACTCCAACTGTTCAATATAGACATTTTCAACAATCGAATTATGATCTATATTGGTCTAGTGAAACAAAAAATCATCAATTCACTTTTACTGGTCGATATATTAATGAAACACAAGTAGTCGGAACTGAAATAATTTTATCATTAAAGAATAAATGTATTCTTGTCAGAGATGTTCAACTGACAGTAAAAGGTACAAAATCATTTTGTACAACAAATATTGAAAATCGTTATTCAATGAAATGTGAATTACCTCCTAATTATGCTTTTTCTGGTTGTATAAACTATTAATATAAAATATCAAAAATTAAACATTATTATCTTTTTTTTTCTAAGTTGTATTAATTTTCATTGATTCCATTTATCTTTATTATAGATATTATTCATTCAATTTTTTTTTCAATAGAACATCAATATGATAGTAAGATTAAAATTTAGGTCTAGTCAAATAATTTCACTCGATTTTTCATTTAGGTAATAATGACACTCCCATTGTCATTATTATTTTTTACTCTCTCAACAACTTTCATTACGGCGTTTATCTGTCCCACAACTAACAATACATATCCACACGAATGGAACAATGCAGCTTATTATCAATGTTCAAAAGATTGTGCTTATCAACGAGATTGTCCTCCGAAAACTTATTACTCTTCTAGTACGAGGAAATGTATCTCAGAACCAGCTGATTGGAGTCCACAATTTGATTTAACTGGTCAGTATATATGGTCTGACAAGACTTTTATGGAAATTCGTCAGGTAGGCTATGATGTACAATGGTCAACCGAAAGTAATGATGCCATATACAATTTTGTCGGCCGTTATCTTAATGCAACAATGGTATCAGGTTTAGAAATTATCCTAGAAAAAACAACGAATTGTGTAAGTTTACAAGAGTTTGATTTATCTGTTACGGGAAAGCGTAATTTCTGTCGATCACGAGTTTCTTACCATTGGTACACCCGTACTTGTGATAGGTCTTTACCTGACCTTGTTTGTTACACTTATTGATCCTTTTGAATTTTGTACTAATTATAAAATTAACACTGAATTTTTTAAATATATATTTGTATTTAATAATCTTGACACGTGTGAAAAGAAAATATTTACAATATATTTTAGATGTTATTTTTAAGTATTCTTTCATCTCTTATTATCAATATCTATTGTATCAATCAACTACCTGGTATTAATGATATATCAGCTGGTTATGATGCAGCTAAAATGCTTTCTGCAAATGAACAAAATTCCAAATATCGTATATTTGATTTAAGTGAACAAAGTACAACTTCATTTAATATAAAAATACTTGGAAAAGATCAAAAATTTGCAGTACCTAAATTTGTTCAAGTAACTGATGTCAGCATTCGAAAAGAAGATACTTGTCAAACTATTGCTTATACTTTTGAATCTTTCTTTCATAGGTAACATATTTATTAGTATTATTATTGATAGATTTTTGTGTTTGGTATAATTAAGTTATTTTCAATCAACATCATTTGGAATTGGAATTGGTATTCCTGGTGTAATTAATGTTGCAGTAGGATATCGTGGGACATTAAAACAAATTCAAGAAGCAATAACAAAAAGTGAAAAAGCTGTAGGAATATCAACAATATGGTGGGGACTTTATTCAGTACAACTTGGTCCCCCACTTTTTCTTAAGTAAAGTTTTTATATAAAATAAATTTAAGTAAAATTTATCGTTCTAGATTGGATCCAATGTTTACTCAAAGTATAGATTTACTAGCTTCACAAGCATCAAATCCAACTAATGAAGATCATCAGTTATATTATAATCAATTTATTGAAACATATGGTACTCATTATGTTTCTCGTATTATTGTGGGTGGAACTGCTTATTTATATACATTATTAGATTCAAATTATCATAAAGAATATTCATATGAAGAGACATCAAGTCAGGTTAGTTTAATGTTTGAATATAAACAATATAATGGACAATATGGTCAGGATGCAACTAATATTTGGTCACAAATCAAAGAAACATTTAAGAAAAATGCAGTTACAACATCTATTTTTCAACCTCCAGTTGCACCTCGAGAAAATAAATCAGATTGGGAGTAAGTTATAAATAGAAAAATGATTTGTCTATAATAGTATTTTCTTTTTTGTAAGAGTATGGCAACAAACAGCAGGCGATCAACCAGTTGTCGTTAATCGAACATTATTTTCTATTCATGATTTAATTAAAAATAAAACAACAGTTCGAGAACATTTACGTAAAACAATTGAATTCTATTTAAAAAAAGGATTCATGCCAACATTGGCTGAATTGAATAATCGTAATACATTTCGTCTTGTATCAATTCCTCCAAAACCTATTGGTCCTATAAATGGACTCGATGTTGTTGGTTGTGGATATGATATTCTTTTAATGGAAAATAGATATTGTATTTTTGATCAAAGTAATTTTACTGAAAATGAAACATGGTCAGATTCATATGACAAACAATTAACTTATTCTATTCCAAATGGATGGTTTGTTGTTAATACTCCTGAATCATTAACATTTGATGGTTCAATTTTAATAACCTCTGTTGAAGATTATTTTCGTTGGACACGAACAGTTACTGTTACCAAAGAAGGTGGTTTTCTCGGCCTTGGTCAAAAGCGTAGACAAAAAACAATAACCGAATTTTATCGTCGTTTTTATCAAGATTATTACAATCTAGACCTTCATATGAAACAAATTGGATGGTATACATTATCAGTAAGTGCATTTCCATATCCAAAATTGAACTCTGTAGCTCAATCAGCGATTGATCGTTTACCAACGCGTTTTGATATAAAAGATTTACAAATTTGGCAAGATTTTTTTAATATATTTGGAACACATGTTGTTGTTTCATCGAATTTTGGTGGTCAAGTTTGGGCAGAAACATGGTATGAAAAATGTTTAACTTATGAACATACACAGCAATGGATTGATGAACAATTAGATGAAAATTGGTTGATATTTACCTATGATGTAAAGCATAGAGAAGATCATACGCAAACGGTTGATCAACGTTTTACAAATTATTCAATATCTTCTTCACAATTGTTAGGTGGTACTGAATCGATTCCTCCATCTAAATGGGAAGAATGGATTCCAACAATCAAAACAGAACCTCGTCCAATTTCTTATCGTCTTATATCATTAGATGAAATTCTACCAGAGAGTGATCGACGTAATGCACTTAAAGAAGCAATTCATTGTATTTTAACAGTAGCTAAAGAAGAAGATCAGAGTTATATTGATCAATTAGAAACTATACGAGAACCACCAAGAAAAAATTGTACTCGAAATGAGATTCGTACACGACGTCAAACATTAACAAATGATAGACGAGAAGAGAAGCAAGATTTATGTCCTTATGTTGGTTATAACGGAAAGGAATGTCTTGGATCACGAATAACAGGACGTAGTTTACCAGCAGAAAATGCTACTAAGGTAACAAAATTTTATAAAAAAAAATTAGTTTTAAATAAATTATTTTTAGCTGCCAGTTGGTATCGGCATGACTCTTGATATTACTACAGGTACCCTTCTTCTCCCTGCATTGGAATATACTTACCTTGGAAATAATTATTGGACTGATCCTATTACAAGTATAATGTATCAAGCTCCTCGCGGAATAACTTTTCCTGGCATTAAGACGACTGATAATGATCCAGTTTCACGTGTTTTTCTTACAGCTGCAGAATTATCAAATGAATGGAAATATGAAAAGTTAAAAGGAAGTTGGTTAGGTGGTGAATTTGGTCATTCAAAATCCCTACTTGATTTATACAAGAAATTTTTTTCGATGAATCAAGGAATAGCTATTGTGCAAAAACCAACAGTTTTATATCGATTACGCGTGGAAAATCTACAGTTGAATAAATATGCTAAAGCAGCAATACAAAAATTACCAGTGAAATATGATGAAACTTTATATAGTGATTTTTTACAAAATTGGGGTACACATATTGTACAACAGTCACTTGTTGGTAAGTTTTAAAACATAGTTATACAATATTTACTTTAATTAAAATAGGTGGAATGCATGAACAACAAGTTCTTTTTAAAGATTGTGTTTTTTCGTTTAATGGTGCAATTACATCAGATAATTTAAATGACTATCTTAAACAAGATATTCTTTCTGAAACACTTGGTAATAGTTTCTATGCTGATCGACGAAAAATTTCTGTCGATCATTGGATCGGTGGTAATCCAACTGAAAAGAATCAAACACGTTGGCTAGAAACATTAGCTGATAATCCTGCTTTGATAAAAATTGAAGAATATGTACCGTGGTCGGATGTCATCGAAATTGATCGAGACGTACGCGAAAATTTGAAAAAGATTATTCAATCTCGTACTACAGCAGCTGATAAAAAGCGAATTGATGAAGAGGATCAAGTAACCAAACAACGTATTAACGGCAGTTACATGGCTAGAGATGGTTCAATTGGTCTTTTAAATAATGGTAAATGTGATATAAAACCTGCAACATTTGGTTCTGTTGAAGCTTGTTCAAAGGGATGTCCAACTAATGTATTGATAAATGGAAGTGCTGATTTTCTCGGTAACCAACAACTTTGGTATTTGAGAGATGAAACGACAGGATTTATTCGAGCTCAAGCACGAATTAACTCACGTTAGTTAAATCATATTTTGTTTTTATAAAATTTTTTCTTCTACTATAGAAACAGTACGTGAAGGACCTTCAGTCAATGCTGGATGTTCATCAATTGATATCAACAAAACACCGACTACATCTGCTCATATATGTGTTGCATGTGATTTAGTCAGTAGTTTTTCTGATCAATGTGTATGTGTTTGTCCAACATATCCACCATCTAGTGTAAAATAATATACTTTTTATGAATGATGAAATAATCATTTCAACAAAATATATTGTCTGTGTTTTAAAACTGAATGAACTTTTTCTAACTGAAAATAAAAAAAATATTTATATTAAACGATGAATATGAAG